CCGAGGAGCCCCAAGCCAGTCGACCCAGGGGGCTGCCCAGCTGCGCAGCCAGGGCATAGGCTGCAAGGCCCTGAGGCGGAGTCGCGCCGAACCGCCATTTCAGCCGGGGACACCGGGGCCCCTAGCAATAACCCGCGGTTGATTTTCGAGAAAAGGCCGAGCTTTATTGGGGGAGGGTCTCCAAAAGTGGGCTCCGAGTCCAGCCGCAGTTCACCCCAAAAAACACCGGGGCTGCGAAGAACCTGAAGTTGATTTGTTTGGGGGTTGACATCAGGTCAGTGGCTACCATCCATGTATATACCAACTGAAGGATTGATTTGGAGGGTACATGTGGGTAAATATATTGAAGAACCGTAAATGTGTGGAGGATATGACGATATGGCTGTGAACTTGAAAAAATGTGACCCGAAATGGACATCGGAATTCGGTGAGGATGAACTTGTCCACCAATCACTTTTGAGGTGGTTCCCTAGTGAAGTGTACAATCATAGCCACATGAATCCCTCACAAAGGGAAGTCACAGAGGAGAGCTTGTCCGGCACAAAAAACCACGACAAAAGTCAACACCGTTGTGGGCGAAGATCCTATCGCAGGCTCCTGCAGCCTTTTTGGGGAAGACCATTTTTAGTGGGACAGCCACCAAAAAAAAGGGAAACAGGGTGCCACTGAACAACTGAGGAGCGTGTCTTTTCGAAGTCTACCCTGTTTGGGATTGGATTGGCATGAGGATTAGCTATATAGGATCAACGCCCAAACTGATAGACAAACTCACATTGAAGGTTGCTCAACATGAAGACATGATTCACAAACTCGAGAATGTGTCGCTTCTCGGTGGCTTCAGGCGAAATCACAAGGAGAGCCTTCCATCCATTTCCATCCCGAATCCGATTCAAGGCAACTGGTCCATGGCTGTTGGCCAATCGTGGCCACTCGCTTTTGGGACAAATCGGCTGTGGAGCGGTCCCTTTCCCATTTCGAAACTGGCCTCCCAGGTTTTGATGGAGGAAAATGGACCAAGCCTCTATTCAAAAAGATTCATTTGGTTTCAACCCCGCCTCTGCTCAAACAATCCCTAGGTGGTTTGGAACCAAACTGAGATGCGTCGCCTTGATTCCCTTGTGACTAGAGATCCCACCTCTGGTAGGCGGTGTTGCCGTGCGAGCTGAAGCACGGGAGAGGCGTCCGGGAGAGGCTCCTGGAGGTGTGGGGGGGGGGGGGGTCAAACATGGCGTTCCCTTTCAAACCAACAGGGGAATTGTGTTTTAACAAATAAACCATAACACTTAAACAAATGGAAGACCACCAATCAACAGGAAACCACATGGGTGGAATCTTTCAAACCAACAATCAATCCCTTTGAAAGGGAAAGCACTGTTTCCCTTGCTTTGGTGGTCTTCCCTTCCCCTTTCAAACCAAGATTCCTGGGAACATAGACAATATCTTCTTAAACAAATGGAAGACCACCAATCAACAGGCTGCATCTCCAAACTGGCCTGTAGGGGAAATACAACAAAGATATATTCATTTCAGCAAATGGAAGGTTGCCAGTGGGGTTGCCATGGGTGTGTTACGGCAGTATCCGTGCAGCTTCCAGATTGCACTGCTTGCCCTGTACCTGGGACCCCACTAGGGCGGTTCATTCAATCCCTCCCTGTCACGCACCAAATGCTGGGTGTCATCTTGGCTCCATTGTCAACCCCCCCCCTCAATAGACTCCCGTTGCAGTTTGACCCCTTCAATGGACTTGACCCAAATCAAAACTATTGGCAGGTCGGTGCAACCCGTGATCTATCATTCATGCGGGTCTCATAACGTGCACAATCCTCGGCGCCGTAGATGCTGCGGAAGCCCCACAGCATCATGCAATCCTCGGTCGGGGCAAAGTGGCGGCTCCTATCTATCGGGCCACTTGAACCAAGCACGACCTATGGACACCGAGCAACACGCCAAGTTAGACCTATGTCTGCTTGGACCCCGAAAATGGCGCAACGGTTTTACAATGTGGTTTGGAAACCCCTGTAAACCACCCAAAAAAAAGGAATCCTTGAACAAAAACACCTACATATATACATACGTATATATATATATATATATGTATTATATCCCTTTGCCCAGAGGCAAGCCTACCCACAAACCCAGAGTCATGTTGATCGTGGGTTCCCCTTCCAACCCGGCAAAAACGGGCTCCCTCAAAAAAACAGGACGAACCACACCCAACTTCCATTTGCTGGATGTTTTGAGACAACAAACAGCAGATTTCCAGTGTCATAGATTCCCCTAAAAGGACAAAAAAACAAACAAACAACAATGGGAACATATGTTATATTCACTGGGATTTCCCATGAACATTATGTTTGCTTAACATCCACTGGGAAATTCCCGGTCTGTAAGCAGGGGAACATCTGACATATGAAGTCCAGCACAAAAAAACACAGGGGAACGTATGACATATGCATCCCAGCATAACAACCAGGGGAACATATTGACATATTAGTTGCATGTTTTTAACATATTGACATATCAATTTCAGCGTAAAAACCAAACAAATAGGGACATACAATATATTCAATTTCAGCCACTGGAAGGCAAGGACCTAAGCCTAACTTCGGCCGGCGCGCCGGACACTCCGACAGCTCGTCGTACGTCGCGACGCGGCTCTCGTCGCTGAGGCCCAGGAGCTGTGCGACGGAGGCCCAGAGCCGCTCCTGCGCGGAGTTCGGGGCGGTTCTTTTGCCAGGTCTCCCGGGAAAATAAATAAATAAATATGTATATATATATATAAACACTCTTCATTTTCTCAGGACATGTGGCAAAAGAACCGCCCCGGTGAAGTTGTTATTTTGTTTTGCCTTTCGGTATTTGTTCATTGTGATTGTCATGCTATTGTTGTAAGTTTATGTTAGCCTGTTTATGGTGGGTTACTTTTCTGTTCAACAGATTAATAAAACCCAATCCAATGGACTTTTAGAATCCCCGTTTGGAAGATTTGCTTGAAGCTTCCGACGGGATGCCGAGGGTTTAGGACTATGCACAGAAGTACCAGATTCGACTCTTTGGGGCCGATGTCGCGCATTGCCTTTTGTCTGGACTGCAGGGGTTTGTAGCATTTCGACCAAACGTTACCGGCGACGCCGTAGTAAACGTCGGAATGTCGCATGGAGCAAACATCTCCAACTTGTGAAGCTTAGAGCGCGTTGATCGCATCTGCTTGATTCGAGAGACAAATCGACAAATCTCCAGCTTCAATCGGCCGTTGTTCAGTGCCAGCTGTCTAAATAACCATGACCATGTTATTGGGTGGATTCCTCCATTTGGCAACATAAGCAAGTTTCAAGTTTCAGCAGAGAAAAAGCATCCGACAGTGCGGCGCTTGAAGTTGTCCCACGGCAAACCACATCCGTCACACTTTTGCCGTGCACACCGTGCCAGAGTGGCAAGGTTTGAACAGAAAAAAACAAACACCAAAAAACAAAAAACAAAAACACGAGGCGACTCCAGCCCTCCTTCCACCCACCGAACCGGACGCTCGGGTCGAAAGGGGGATCGAGCCACTGGGCGCCCGGGCAGGGCTGGGAGTGGCCGGGTCCAAAGCTCTCACCGCCTCACTCACCTGCTGCTCCTCGGGGGCTCGGGGGCTCGGGGGCCAGGCTGGCCGGGCCCACGAGATATTCCGCAGCCGCGGGCTGGTGCTGGAGTCGGTGGTCCAAAAGTCGGGGAGCCACACATTTTGGGTTGGGAAATGGAAAGGACCAACATCGGAAAATGGGTGAATGGGTTGATACATGGTAAATGGGTTCATGGAAAATTGTAAAATGTCTTGGTGAATGATAATTTCATCGATTGGTCTTTCAAAAAATGGAAAGCACAAACATCGGTCGATCTCCTGACTCACGTTGACCCACGCCCAATGGGCCACACGGCCCGCGCCTTCCAGGGAGGCTGTTCACTCAAAGACCCCGAGGGCCATTGACCCATTGACCCTTCTCCATCTGCGGCCCTTTGACTCGAAAACGACTCCAAGCGTCTGTGCCCTCACCAGTCACCAGCTGCCGCAAGGCTTCGCCTCATTGAGGAAAACTCCATCGAAAGATCGTGGCCTTCAATGTTTGAGTGGCTTGTTGACAACACGGAAACCGTTTCTGGGACCAATGTCGTAGAAACATAATGATGCTACTTGTGTGGAACCACTACTACTTTTGTGGGTTGCTATTGCAACACTACTTTTGTTGTAGAAGCTGGCCGCAAGTTCTCACGTCATGTTCAATCATTGATTGGCTTCTATGCCGCATGATCTTCCCGTCCGGACCCGGCATTTTGGGATGACTTCTTAGAGTAAGATTGAAAAAATGGTTCTTGCAAATGTGCATCCCGGTTGGCCGATTCTGGCAGGTCTGACAGAAAACCCGATTCCCAGATAAGCTGCAGTGCTCGTGACCAGAGCCTAGGTGACCTACTGGAAACACAGATGAGTGTCCCTGGTAAACGGGGCATACAACCAGTCTAAAACCAGTGGAACCCATCTATTTCTATCCAAACTAGTCTCAAAAGGACACCTATCAGTGCAAACAAGGGAATCGTATTGTCTTTGTTTGGAGTTGGTCCCGCTTTTTTCGGTTCTAAAGGGAAACCAAAAGCACACCGTTGCGCCCTTTTTGGGTGGCCAACCTAATCTAAGCAACGCACGTATGGCTATGATGCTCACTTACATTGTACATGGGTATGGGTCAAAACTAAACCACTAGGGACCGCACGCTTCTGTCCTGCTTAATTGCCAGGGTCCCATTTTGGGGTTACACATTGACCCACATTGACCCACATCATTTCCACCCATTTCCACCCCCATCTCATCTTCCCTCATCTTACCTAACCCACACCCGTATCATTTTAACCCACAGCAATTTGGATTTTGGGTTACCCTATTTTGAACCCACACCCCCGCCTCATCCTATGCACCCCCCGAAGCGCCCAGACGAGGCCCCAACTGGGAGCCACGGTGGCTT